AACAGAATGACAAACAATGCATTTCATAGTCTCTTCCTTGAATGTATTTCTTAATTTATAGCATATACTTCTTCTTTTTCTGTGATTTGGAAGACGGGAAAGGAACAAGAAAACAAAGACGGGAAATTCCTGGAACTAGAGATGTTATTCTCAGGGATGTTTATTTGTTCCCCTGTCAGACACCTTCCATGGTTGAATTCAAGAACTGTTCATGCTAAGGTGACATTAAAATATTATATATTTATTATGTCTGTGAGCCATCGCTCAAATCTATATGTGCTTATAAAATTGTTCATCTACGGAATAATATTAACTGTTGCAGTTGTGTTGGACATCTTAACTGCCACCATCTACTGTCAAATATGAACTCTCTATACGCTAAAGTAACATAAATTTAGTATATATTATCTGTCTGTGAGCTATTGCTCAAATTTGTATATGCATAAGAAAATTGTCAGCTAAGGTGAAATATTAACTATCCTAATTGTTCCTAATTGATAGTTATGACAAAGTAACTGTAGACAGTAGACAGCCATTTGAATTTGAATTACATAGTGAAATAGCATGTATAGTCTATCTGCTACTGAAATTGTAGGGTATTTTCAATATTAGTCCCTTAAATCTTTCTTATTTTGAATTAGTCCCTCAAATCATTGGAATTGCTATTAGGTCCCCCAAATCTTAAGTTATTTCCAGAATTATTCCCTCAAATCATTAAAATTGCTGTTAGGTTCCCAAATTCTCGTAAGTTGATTCAAATTAATCCCTCTAATTGCTACTTCTACTCTTCATTGGAGGGACTAATTTCAAAGTAACTTAAGAAATTGGGGACCTAATCAAGAATTCAGTGATTTGAGCGACTAATCAAAATAACTTAAGAATTAGGAAACTTTATTTCAATTTCAATTGTTTGAGGGGCTAGTTTTAGAATATGAAAGATTCAAGGGACTAATGTTCAAAAACTCCATAATTATAACGTTGTGAACTTAAGAAGATTATTCATCATTGCCGTGAAATAGTGTTGCATTGAGTTGTTCCTTTGTGGGTAAGCTCAATAAGTTAAATCAGCTTCTTCAAAAATTGCCTCCAGGGCTAATAAGTTCAAGTTAAAGACACGAATCATGGTTCTAATTAATTTCTTTTTTTACCAACTTGTCTATAAGAAAAACATAAATTTTGAGAATTTAACATGATCTGGCACTCTGTGTGTGTAAACATGAGCTTGCAAATGTCTCATTGTGTTTGTATCAGAGTTGAATGTTGCCACAATTTCAAAAATGGTAAGGGCTCATTTGTTTATCTCCTAGTAACTGCTACTTTGTTTACTATCAAAAGTATTTGAATCACAGGATTGCACTTTGCAAATTCTTCAAGATATATGCATTGTAATTTATAAGTTTGAGAGCTGGTTAGTCTTAGGCTGCTGCTGTTTTTATAAATGTTGAAGAAAAAAAAATAATGGTAAACACAGACCACCATGAGCTATTAATCTGTTAGGGGGTTGCGCACAAAAATACCATCAGCTATTTTTATTAGAGAAAGATACCACAAATTTCAAATCGCACGCAGAAAAATACTACAAACTAGCACAAACCTGTACATGGATCAAATACCATGAACTTTTAATTATACTTCACAAATTATACCATGAATTTACTAATAAACTCCCCAGTCTACAATGAACTTTACATTGCCATGGACTTTCAGGTATTATCATAAGACTACCGTGTAGCTTCTGATGCTAGGGAAACTTTTCTGTAGATATTTTCTGTAAAAAAAATAAAAAAATAGTTTACGGGAGTTTTGTACAAAACAACTATCAGTTCATGATAGTTTTGTGAAATTAACCTTTTTTAACTCACATATTGCAATTACCATCTATAGAAAAAAAAATTCGGCTGATTCATATTACTTGCAGCCGCTTACGGAGCTTCCAGATAAGAAGTGCCAACGATGTGGTTTGTATGAAGCAGACGTTATGAAACCTGACGATACATTTGATGAATGGGAGTTTTGTTCATCTGATTTTGTTGATGGAAGATACTTACGGTTTAAGGAGAAAGAGTTCAATGCTACATTTTTATGTCCTGATTGCACTGCTTCTGCTGGTTAGTTTGTCATTTATAAGTTAATTTCACAAAACCCCGTGAACTTTGTGGTGTTTTGGACAAACTCTCCTAAATGTTATAAAATCAGAGAAAAGTCCCCAACCCGCTTAAGTGTCATAACTGACGACAGTGAGTTTAAGTTATTACATATTTTTTTCAGTTTAAGTTTTTTGGGTTGTGGTACATAAATAGTAATGGTGGTAGTTTAGGCTTTGTTACCCTTCATGTTGATGCCATTTATAAAAATTTCCAATAGCTTAGAGGGAATTGTATAATTTCGAAAGTTTGGATGGGTTTTTTCTGATTTATAAAGCTTGACAGGGTTTTGTGCAGAACACCCTAAAGTTCAGAGGGGCTGTTTGAGATTTAACCATTTTAAATAGGATTACCATTTTGAAGTATATTGGAATTTCTTGTGAATTCAGGTTCAGATCAAACATTTGCCCCCACCAAAGAGCCCACGAGTCTAAATGTGATTACAATAGTGTTAATCTCGGTGCTGGCTTCTATGGTAGCGGCTTCTCTAGCTTATGTTGCCTACAAATACTGGCAGAAGAGGAAAAGGGAGCAAGATCAAGCGCGATTCTTAAAGCTTTTCGAAGAGGGTGATGATATTGAAGATGAACTGGGTCTTGAACATCTGTGATATAGAAACTTAGGTAAAGCATGTTTGTATAGATTATGTCCAATTTTTTTTTTTTTTTTTGAGTGTACAAATCCAGGTTACACGTAAAAAAGCTGTGTTTTGGAGTTCGATTTGGTTCCTAGCGTTATATTCAACGGGAAAGAGAGAGAGTTAAGCTGCATCGATCTCCTTTTTGTAATAGTCTACTTTATTTTAAGTGAAGTGTTCACAAATTTCTTTTTTAAACACTAGTATAATGCATGTGCATTGCACGTGGACATATTGATTTTTTTTCTTTTGAATTTTCATAATAAAATTTTATTTTATATAGCCAAAAAACATCAATTGGTTACGAATTTGCTCAAGACCAAAAAGATAGAATTTTTGTGAATATATATGGTAAATGTAAAATATAATTTATATTCTTTTAAAAAAATTACCCTTAATATTTAAACATGTATAGAAGATCAAGAATTAAAATGAACTCTAGTTTAGACATTGATTCATTACAACTCTTCCACATAATTAGTGAAATATCTACCAGTGTAAGTTCCTAATGAGTGGGATGAAGTATTCTATTCTCGAACTAAAAAATTCGATGCAACTGCGTTAGTTGCTAATTCCTTCACAGTTACACTCAACGTATAGACATTTTAAAATTACACAACTGAAATAAATAAAGGAGGAATAAGAAGAATTATGGAGAATATGTTTCATTACAACATCTCATCAAATTGATGTGAGTTTTGTAGTTCATCTCATTTTAGTTAATCTCATTTTAGTTAATGGTTCATCTTTTAATTTTTCCATATATATTCACAGAGAATCACAAATTCTATCTTTTAGGTTCAAAATTTGTCACTGATACCATAACCTTCGCGTATTGTATGTCCAACTTCATTCTAAATGATGACTCTTAGTCTCATGGGCTCGTCATCCTCTCTCATGATAAAGATCATTGTTAAGACCAATACGTAGTTCCATGAAGTATTCATCTTGACATGGCGAGAGATATTACTATTTTTCTAGGAAATTAATGATGACAAAAAAATTAAGAAAATGGTAACAAAGACATTAATAAGGTATCTAGAACATAGTATAAGGACATAAATGCCAATCTTTAATGTTTAAGTTAGGATATGTTATGACATCAATTAACCGAAGTGTTAATTCATTCTTGGAGTCGACACGTGTCCCATGTCAGCATTAATCAATCACACTAGTTCACCCTCACCACGAGCGACTCAGGTAGCCTGGACGCTCCACTCCTCCTGGGCTAGGCCGAGTCAAGACTAGCTCTCACTCGACCTCATTAATCGAGTCGACCACCCTCATTCACTCAGAGCTGAGTCGACATCTTGCGTGGCCGACTCAAGAGGCGAACTTGTCGACCTATTCTTCATGTTGAGCCCTCAAGACTTCACACTCGGCCCGCTATATCAGTCGCCAACTTGTGTAGCCGACTAAAAAGGCAGTGTTTGTCAGCCTTCAGCCAAACGACTAGAGAGGCGTTGTATCCTCGAATCCCCTGACGACAACCAATCACCATCACATTAAATGCATGGTTAAAAATCATCATTGCTCCAGCCCTAAAAGTCTTCATGACTCATCAAGCTACGTCAGCACAATTTGCGGGAAAACTTTGCAAAAAAAACTGAGAAATAAATTTGTATTAATCTCTCTAACTGACTTAGGAAAAGAATGAATACAATCTCTCAAAGTAATCTCTCTCTAACTGACTTATAAAAAGAAATTACAATTTTCTTATCGGTTCCTGATTTATAAAAGAGAGAAGAATCGACGAGGATCCTTCCCTTTGTTTAATACTGGATTCTTCTTGGTGGCAATGAGAGTTTGATTCTTGTATCCCGTTGACGATCCGAACACTTAGCTTCATGGAACTTTGTCTTCTCCTCTTGACTTAACGTCTGGGGAGAACTTGCAAAGCAAGTTTGGGAATTCTAAACGAGTTTAGAACTCTACGAGAGAGTTAATTTCAAAAAGGAATTTCAATCCTTTTTAACCGAAATAAGCCAATGGCTTTCCCCTCTAAGGCAATAGCCGATCTCAAAGGTATTCAACCAAAGATGGTTCAAAAAGCCAAGCCAAATGATCTCAAAAGCTCTAACCAAAAGCTCCAACCCAAGGTGATCCAAAAAAAAAAAATTGTATTCAGCTAAATTCTCAGCTATTTATAGAGTTTAAAGGGTGTAACTGATCCCTTAATTTGCTCCATAATGGGGGCTTAATCGCCCTATTAAGTGGGTAACCGTTCAAGTAATTTGAAATGGTCAAACGCGATGTCCGCGTTCTAGTTTCAATACGCGGGGGTGGACCCTTGCGTTTGGCTTTTGAAACGCGGGAGTAAGCCCCGCGTTTGGAGTTTGGAACGAGGGTGAGCTCTGCGTTTGGAGTTTGGAACGCGAGGGTGGACCCTCACGTTTGGCCTTGAAGAGATCGTCAATTGTAATCTCTTTTTTTCGAATTTTTTAAGGATTATCAGCTTGTAATCCTTATATTTGGCTTTTTGAAGTGTGAGAGTCGTTAATTTGTAACTCTCGTATGTTGTCATGAAAGTCGTTAGATTATAACTTTCATCGTCAGTGTTTTATGAGGATCAGCTATTTGTAGTAATTTTTTGATAGCTTACAAGTACAAGCAGCTGCTATTGCTTTGCACTAATTACTTGGATGACTCATGCCACTCGCAGTCGACACATGTCAGCAGTCTGCCAAGTCAGCTGTCTGCTTAGACTCGGCCACAGGTACATATTTACCCCTCTCGTCTGGGTATATGTAGGGGCTCATTGCCTACTAGTAAGGGGGACATGAGAGACCGGAGGAAGCCCCCAGGGGGCCATAGGTATGCAACTTCTACATACTTAGAACTATTTTCAGTTTATTGGTATCTTCTCCACTCAAGCTCAAATACTGACTTGATCATCGGAGGAACCACCGGAGAACACAACTCCGGTCCTCTAACGAGTGTTATTGTGTAGCTCTCTTATACAGACAAGGGACCAAACTTTAAAAGAGATGAGGAAACCCACATCACTCATATCTGTGGGGGCCACATGGGCCACACCCACGAGCGGGGAAACCGCGTGGGAGGCTAAGAGCCAGCGGAGGCTCGTGAAACCACGTGGGAGGCTAAGAGCAAGCGGGCACCGAATCCAGCAGATAAAAGAAGAGGCCCAATTTCGCATTTGCTTTAACCGCTAGGCTATAAATAGGAACACCCTAGGGTTTTGTGTGGCTGTGCAAAAAAGGGGGTAGCGTGCAAGAGCAGAGGGAGAAAAGTCGGCTGTGTGTTTTCTTGGGCTGCATGTAACAGGAGAAACAAAGGCTTTTTTAGCTATTTTGAGAGAGATTTTGAGAGAGGAATTGAGAGATTAGGTTGAGGCTTAATTTGTGAGATCTTGTGTGATTGTAAACCCATTTGTATTCTCTTTCTTTCTAATAGTAGATCTCCCCCCTCCTTGCCCCGTGGACGTAGGCAATTTGTCGAACCACGTTAAAATTGATTGTTCGTGCCGTGATTTGTAATAAAGAGTTTAGGTTCCCTCGACAGGTCAGTCCTAGAACTGATAAGAGAAAGAGCTGATATCCCACTTTGTTGAGATATTTTGTTTTTAGTTCTTGCTTTCTTTGTGAAACAGAGATTTAGTTAAGATCTACTCTCTTGTCGAGCACTAGAAGTGCTGCCGAAATTTTCACTGCGCACAACAATAGGTATCAGAGCTCGGGCTACGCTTGGGCAATTTGAAGGAGTAGATCGCTTTGGAAGCTCGACTAGGGTTTCAATTGGAGTTAAAGGTGGGATCTTTTTTTGTAAAGGCTTTATCTTTCTCAAGTTTGGATCTATTCTTCAATTTGTTCCGCATTGGTTGTTGGTGTGTTGAGCAATATAGACGGGAAAGAAGGTGTTGATGGTGATGCTTCTGGTGTGAAGACTATTTAAAGTTTGAATATCCACTTTACGAAGATAGATGTAGAGAAGTTTTATAACACGAACAACTTTGGATTTTGGCGATGCGAAGTTTTGGATGCGCTGAACGTGCAAAATTTGGAGGATACTTTGGAGTTGGATATCAAACCAGATGATATTGAAGAGAAGGTTTAGAAGAAGATGAATCGGACGGCATGTGGTTTTATTAGGTCTTGTTTAACACAAGATTTGAAGTATGATGTGATGAATATGGCTTCTGCAAAGAAGATTTAGGAGACCCTTGAGAGCAAGTATTTGACCAAGAGTATGGAAAATCGCTTGCATTTGAAGAGGAGACTTTATCGCTTCCAATTGAAGAAGGAAACCTCCATTAGTGATCACATGAATCACTACACGAAACTTCTTGCGGATTTAGCGAATGTGGATGTAATGATTGAAGATGAGGACAAGGCATTGTTGTCGTTGAGTTCCTTATCTGATGAGAAATATGAGACCTTTGTTCTTACCCTAATTAATGAGAAAGCATCCCTTTCGTATAATGAGGTCACCACTGCACTTGTGAACTATCAACTTCAAAAGAAGGATAAGGAAGCTTCAGTTGAGCATAGTGGAGGCATTGGTTGCAAGAGGGAAGAATCCAAACCGAAAGAATTGAAAGTCACAGTCTAGAGTAGGGCGTCCTACAGTTGGAAAAGATTAGTGTGCTTGGTGCAAGAAGACTGATCATTGGAAGAAAGATTGTCCAAAGTGTTTGGTGGAAAATTTGCAGTAAAAAGAATGAAAGAAATTTGATTTGTATTCTCTCGATCTTAATTACAATTTGGATTTTTGATTATAAAAGAGAGGAGAATTGATCTAAATTCTCCCCTTTGTTTAAGTCTGGGTTCTTCATGGCAACGATGAGATGCCTCACTCGAATGCTCGCGTCGAGTTTGCTTCTCGTTGATGATCCGAACGTCTTATTTCACTAGAACGGTATCTTCTCCTCATGATTTGACGCCGTGGAGGACTTGCGTGGCAAGTTTGAAACTCTGAACGAGTTGATAACTCAGAGTGAGTTTAAACTCTTGTAAAAGAGTTGATTAATCTTAACCGTAATTGGTTAGACAAGCTAAGCACGAAGATATCCCTAAGAATCTGTTGTCAAGAAGATGATCCGAAGAAGCCGATCTCTAGATCTCCAAAATTCTCAAATATCCAAAAGATTTCCCCCTCAAAAGCCAGCCAAGGATCTCTTCTTTGCTGTCGAGCCGAAGGATCCGAACTAAGTTGATTTCTTAGTTATTTATAGGGGATTA